CTCTCTCTCTCTCTCTCTCTCTCTCTCTCTCTCTCCCTTCCTCCCTCTTTTTATGTAGCATTCTCTTAGCTCTAGGTTAGTGGCCATAGGTGGCCACTAGATGGAGCTCTAGGATGTTCTAAAACAGACAAAGGCTAGGTAGGGGGTTATAGTCTTGAACTTGCTGTTTTTCCCTTTAGCCCTCCAGTTTGGTCTTTTATTGGCTTTGTGGGGAGGAAGGGGTTCTCCTGGCTTATAAAGACCTTGAAAATTGTACCTAGTGAAGTAGAAAAAGCAGTCTAGGGTTCCTAATATGATTTTTGAACTTTTTTCTGGCATCTGTAGATACGTATGGCTTATAAAACACACAGCCAAAATGGCTCAGTCTTCTTAACTCTCAGGATCCAGCTCAGCATACTTGAAAATGATTCCATTAACCTAGACGAAAAGAGAGCAGAGTTTTCAGAAGCTTCCTATGTTAGACCCCATGCTTGTTATAGTTATCACTAATAGCAGTCTTATATAATAATAGACCAATTACTATATAGTCTCAATAGATCCTTCCCACTGTGATTTTCTATATCAATGGCCTGAGAGGCACATCAGAGTTCCATCTCATCAGATCCCATTTCCACAAACACCAAAAGGCAGAGCAACAAGTGGCTATCTGCAGTGCCTGGTAGCAAAGTAAAGCACATGCTGGCCACCAGGCTCCCTCAGTACCACAAGTACCTGCTACACATTTCAAAGTCCATGCTAGCTAGCATCCTGTCTCTTCCCACCTCCTCCCCCACCAGAAACTTCCCCAGTTCACAGGCTTCATCCCCCCAGCTACTTATTCTTATAATGCTGCTACTTCATCTATGCTCCTCTCTCTTTGTCTTCCTCTCCGTCTCCCTCCTCCCTCTTTCTCTCTGCCTTCCTGTGTTCACTGTGTGTGTGTCTCTCTGCCTCTCTGTTTCTCTCTCTCTTTCTGATCTGCTCCTGCTTCTCTTCTGCCAGGTCTAATCTGCTAGCCATATTCATGTACTACTTTCTCTCTCTGCCCTGGATTCTTCCAGATGCCCCTGGCTGTTCTCTCTCTCATATCAAAAAATCAAACCCTTCCCCTTATCCATACTATGAAGTGGTCATGCCATCAGTTTATATACTGCACCTAAGACACAACAATGGAGCCTGCACAGACTGTAACTGGGTTACAACAGACCTCTTGCATGTGCAACCAATGATTAGGATGATATAGATGCCTGGTCAGGCAGTGTCAAAAGTCCCAGTGAGCTATTTGAATTCCTTAATGTAAGTGGCACACTCAGCAACCTGGTTTATATTGTATTATATTAATGTTTATATTAATAGTTTCTAAAATGAAATTGAAGCTCAGAAAACACCTGAGGCAGAGGCATAAGAACCAAGACTTTGAAGACAACCTGGGATATAAATAGATCAGACCTTACCCCCCAAAAGGGGGAGGTGAGAAAATATTTACCAAAATACCAAATATTCAGTGATCAAAGAGTTTATAATAATAATTCTGCCTTCCTTGCTTAAACACAGTAGTTAACCATCTACCGATCATCTCCTGTGTGGCAAGTGATGTCCTAATGACCTCACATAGATGATATCTCATCGACTTGGACTGGGTTTAAATCAGGTAGAAGCCTTGCTATGATGAAAGATTGAGTTCTTCCCATTCTTCAGCCTGATGGGCTTGGAGCAAAGCAAATGCATGGAAGGGCAAAGGGTCTTGTATTTGCATAACCCAGGAGGGTGCTGTACTGAAGCAGAGATGTTCTGAAAGATTGAGCTCTCTCTCTCTGAAATAACTGCTTAGAAAGAAAACAAGGATTCCCTAAAAATCTCTGTCTGGTGGCGAAGTGCATGGTATTCAGAGTTGATTGACATAATGGTTCAATCTGTAATGTGGTGTGCATGTGCGTGCGTGCGTGCGAGTGCGCGTGCGTGTGTGTGGTGTGTGTGTGTGTGTGTGTGGTGTGTGTGTGTGTGTGTGGTGTGCGTGCGTGCGTGCGTGCGTGCGTGCGTGTGTGGTGTGTGTGTGTGTGTGTGTGTGTGTGTGTGTGTGTGCAAGGTACCTGTGTGACAGCTAAGTAGAAATGTCCTAGAGGTAGCTGACCAAAGGAATTTTAATTAATAAACATTGTAGAATTGTGTGAGCATGGATTCAATGAGAAACATAATCTGTGCTCTTCCCCCAAGCCAGGGAGTCTAAGAGAAATACATTATGTTTAAGCAATGCTAAAGCCTACAGCTTCCTCTATTCCTTATTCCCAAATCTCACCTCTTCCCACTTTCAAAACAGGCCACTTTTTCACTGTTGCACTGAAGTGAAATGCTTGAATATACAAGAATTTCATACTGTCGGCATATGCTTAGTCTGCTGATATAAGGCATGAATTGGTTATATCTGAGTGTACTTTTGGTTCCTAAACATCCAGAAAATTCCATCTAAAGAAAAAAAAAAAGGAAGAAGAAAGAAAATGTAAGTAGCAAAGTAAATAATTCCTTAAGTTTGTTCCTCTCACGCCATCTACTGGTTTTATAGGTTATAGCATCATTTTGGAAGGGACAGAAGTGGGGATAAGACTGCAAAATGCAGTCTTAGGAGTTCATAGCTTTATTCGTTTCATCTGTATTGAATATAAAATGAGCCAGTAGCATATAGGTATTTAAGGTTCCTTGAAATTGGCACAGAACACACCCAGACACCAAATTCTCAGCACAAAGATTTGTCTACTGCAGAAAGGTAAGTGGGCTGCCTCTGATCTGGCAAAGACAGCAGCAGATGACACTGTAGGTGTGATTGTTCAGGAGACAAAGGGGATGTCCTTGCTAGGATGAGTTCCTTAGTTCAGTAATTGCCTCATACAGGTACCCTGGCTCACAGAAAGGCATTTGCAGAAGCTAGAAGTCCTCCTGGAGACCATCAGGGACCAGTCCAAGTCCAGATAAGATGTCCATGGGCCAAATGAGGAAATGATATCATCTTCAGAAATGAGCAGTTGATAACAGAAATGAGGAGATGATGAAATGTTTGGTTATTTATCTGTCGAATTTGTTTAGTCAAGAAAGAGGAAGACAGAAAGGGAGTAGAGGGACAAAAATTAATAGAAAAATAATGATGACAAGTGGGGCCATCAAAGGCCAGACTCATCTCATTAGGGAGGACTAGAAGCAGCTTGTAGAACTAGAGTCGATCAAGGAAGTTGCTTTCAGCAGCCCCTCAGAAAGATGAGCTAGTTTATAAACATTGTATAAATTGATTAATAGCAACATTCCTCCATGAGGAACAGGCCAGTTATCCCCCCCACCACCTTTTTTTTTCTGCTAGTAAGAGATCTAAGGCTTGGTGTTTCTGGAGGGAGACTCAGGACAGAGAGGTAAGCTGTCACTAGACTCAGCCATGGAATCCAAAAAAGAGTTGTAATTTGGCCTCGAAGTCCAAAGCAGTGAGGACAGATTGACCCAAAGTTCCCCAGGCCACCTATTCCACTTAAGGCAGTAGCCAGACTCACGTTTGTAATGAATCTTTTTTTATACCACCAACTCCCAATAATTATATAGAGACTTAGCTTAGACTTGCTCGTAACTAGTTCTTTTAAACTAACCCATATTTTTAATCTACACTTTCTCACGAGGTTTGTAACTTCATCTCCATATCGCCAATCCTGCTTCTTCCATGTCTGAGACTTAGCTTAGACTTGCTGGTAACTAGTTCTTTTAAATTAACCCATATTTTTAATCTACACTTTCTCATGAGGTTTGTAACTTCATCTCCATATCGCCAATCCTGCTTCTTCCATGTCTAGCTGGCGACTCTGCCTTTCTTCTTCCTAGAGTTCTCACTCTGCCCACAAGTCCCGCCTATACTCGTCTATCTAGCTATTGGCCACTTAGTTTTTTATTACACCAATCACAGCAAAATATCTTCACACAGTGTACAAATATCCGACAAAACACACCCACCATAATAAGCAAGAAGGCAGCCCTGGGTGATGAGTTCTTGAGAGGAGCCAGAAAAATCTAGATTGGCTATCATCAGAAAACAGGGTCCGGTCTGTTACCCAAGAATAGCCTTTCCTGGGGTGCCTAAGTGGACTCTGTGATTGAGACATTTGGGAACTATGGATGAATGGGGAAGCTTTTGACAAACGATGAAAGGGATAATAGGTAATAAGTCTTTGGGGGTGATGTAGAGAAACTGAGAGAACCCATCTCTGCTTTCCAAATGGGAGCTTGGATGGTTAGGGATAAGCAGTCAGTCATGGATGGTGGGGGATTGGTAACTGAGGCATCTCTACTGAGAGAGACTAAGGCTAGAGAAGACAAGCGAAAAGAAAGTGGTGGTAAATATTAAAGGAGGGATCAATGCAGTTGGGAAGGAGAAGCATTTGTTGAATCTGAGTGAGGGCTGGGCCATGAGTGTGTGGGTCTCAACCTGAGTGAGGGTTGGGCCATGAGAGTGTTGGTATCAAAGAGGAAGTAGGTGAGGTGGGGTTGGGTTTGGTTAAGTCTGGTAATTGGGTATGTAGGATTTGTTCAGAGTTCTTGATGATCAAGGACATCTGGACAGCCAATGTAGTTAGGGGAACCAGTTGGCAATGAACACTAATTGTGGCCATAGGTGTCCCAGATTTAAAGGGGTTAACCTGCTTTCCATTATAAAAAGAATTTGGACCCCAGTGGCCCATCTGTCTTCCTATGGGTTTTTTATGTATATTTGGAGGGTGTTGACCTTGGTGGTTGGGAGGAGTACAAGTCTCAACGACTATCCAGTGCCATCTGTCCATTGGGTGTTGCTAGTACTTATCTAGTGAATTTTGCAGGCCCACCCCCTGTATTTGGGAAGAGTGTTGGCACTTTGGGAGGAATTCATCAAAGGTGAAGCAGATGAAATGTGATTAGTTGTGGTTTGCTGAGACAGAACAGTGATTGAACAAGACTGTAGTGATTGTAATAGGAGCATTGCAGGAAGCCATACCAATAATCTAGGTAGAGACTTTTTGAGTTATTGGGGTTTCCCTAACCTAAAATTGCCAGGCATACTAGCAGTTATGTGGGCAGAGGAGAAGCAGGAGTGAAAGGAGAGGGATAAGATTCCTTTAGTTCAGTGGAGAATGGGTAATTTTAAGGAAATGGGGGGCTGGAGGGTATGGAAAAATATGTAAGGTGGGGGTTAGGAGAGGACTGAGGAATGGGGAAAGAGGGGTGATAAAAAAAGGTTTTAGATGAGACAGATGGATGCAATGTGGGATTTCCTGGATCCTAACTACACTCCAGGTCATAAGTACCATGGTATAGGGCCCTTGCCACTTGGGTTGGAATGGCAGAGTTGGTTGGTTGAGGAGTGCAAAGAGAGCCTGTATAGGACTACTTGGAGTATTTGTAAGTGGCCTGGGAAGAAGGCAGTCAGAATATGTCCAGATGAGTGATCAGATTGCCTGTAAAGGAGAGGGAAGACATTTATCAGGGAGGGAGAAGGGGAGTAACATAGGACCAGTGGAGGAAGGGATCTCCCAAACATCAACTCAAAGGGAAAAAGATTGAAGGGTTTGCAAGGCATATGTGGAGATTAATGAGCTATAGGGAAAAGTTTAATCCAATTGAGATGAAGCTCCAGGGCAAATTTGGTTAGTATTTCTTTGAGGGTCCTCTACCTTACCAGAGAACTGTGGATGGTATGGAGTGTGAAAATGCCAGGGTATTTGTAGCACCTGAACCAAGTCCTGGGTAACTTTAGAAATGAATTCTGGAATTATAAGGAGGGGCATATCCAGTTTAAAGCAAGAGACTGTGTTGGAGAACAGAGGGGTGGTGATGGTCAATGCCCTTTTATTTGTGGTTGCATAGGCCTCAACCCAACTGGAGAATTTATTGATGCAGACCATAGACACTTAAAGCATTTTACAGTGGGTATATGAGTGAAGTCAATCTGCCAATCGCAGCCAGGAAGCAGTCTTCAGGCCTGGTGCATGGGTCAGGTCACATGGTGGAGGTGGGGTTAGTATGTTGACATATACAAGTTTGAGTTAGATTAGGTAGAAAGGTTTTATCTGCCAACTATGTGAGAGACATGTGGGTTTGGAGAAAGGATAGAAGGGATTTGGTATTAGAGTGAAATGTGTGCTTTATGTAGCAAATGATGGCCTATGTTGAAGGATGGCTAGGTATGTTGTATTCTGGGTCATGCAGGAGAGTATCTTGGCTGGAGCTGGGTGAGTCATATGGATGAAAGAGCTGCATGGTGGGCTTTACTGACAATGGAGGAGTCAATTTAGTATGCTGTGCAATAAACCAAGCCAATCTGAAGGTAAGAAAGAAGCCTCAGGGAGGATACAAATATGTGAAGAGTTAGTAATTGAATTGCTTTTTGTGTTTAGAAAGCCTCATTCCTTCCAGATAATCAAGTTTGTTATTTGGAAAGCATATTTGGAGTCTTTTGTTTTGTTTTGTTTTGTTTTGTTTGTTTTTCAAGGCAGGGTTTCTCTGTGGGTTGGAAAGCATATTTGGAGTCTTTTGTTTTGTTTTGTTTTGTTTGTTTTTCAAGGCAGGGTTTCTCTGTGGCTTTGGAGACTGTCCTGGCGGCTGGGATTAACGGCATGCCCACCAATGCCCGGCTATATTTGGAGTCTTATACACCATTAATAATGTACTTTTGGCAATCTGCCACCAATGCCCAGCTATATTTGGAGTCTTATACACCATTAATAATGTACTTTTGGCAATCTGGAAGGCTCTGGTGAGGACTACCAGTTCTGCCTGTTGTTATGGGGGTGGGGGTAAGGAAGCCACCTCAACAATGACATTGTGTGAGACCACTGCACATCCTGCAACACAGTGGCCCTCTGACAGGTAGTAACTGCCATCTGTATAGAAAGTATAGTCAGAAGTAGCTAGAGGACCTTCTTGTATATAAGAGGGATAGGGAGGAGGTCAGAGGACTTCAAGCATCTCATTACAAAAATGAAGAGGGTCTGAGAAATGTTGGGGCAAATGGACAAGTGTGGATGGGTTAAGTGGAGGACCGGCAAGAAATGTGAGTGATGTATTTTCATTGGGAGACATTTGGAGGGACAGAATTCTAGATGGTGGGAAGAACTGGAGTCCTTTATAAGTAAGGAGTTGAGAGAGAGGTGGGAATAGATTGTGAAATGGGACCCAGAGTTAGTTTTTGGATTCAGAGATAAGTAAGGCTGTGATAAGGGTAAGTAGGCAAGGGGGCCAGCTGAAGACAGTGTGGTGTTGTCCAGAATTTTGGAGAGGTAGTTGACAGGGGCAAAGGATGGCCCAAGAAAGTGTCCCAAGACCCCAAGGGCATAACTTTGTGTTTCAGAAGTGTAAAAATGGAAAGGTCTGCATAGATCTGGGAGGTGGAGGGCTAAGGCAGAAAGAAGAGCATTTTTAAGTTTAAGGAATTGTTTATGGGTGAGAAAAGGTGAGGAGATCCAGAAGCAGCTTGGCACAAGAAGCAAGTATCCAGGGACCCATAAGCTGAGGAAATTGGCCATCCCAGAAAAGTAACACAACTCAGATTTAACTCACTATAGGTTTGCCAGATGATGTTATTATCTATTATCCAGATAAAGAAACTGAGGTTCAGATTAGACCTGTCCAAGGCTGAAGCCAATGCAAAAGCAGAGAAGACAGATTAAATCCAGATGTTTTCTCAAGTTCTCACTCTGCTTTCCTTCACCTGCCCAAATTCCTCATGTAAACTCACCTGATCATCTTCCTGTTTCAGCTCTCCTGTCTAGGCTTCCAAGTCGGCACCTATCTTATTTGGGGTGCAAGGCAGTTATTGATGTATATGGCTCCTCTTCTCGATTCTCTGTTGCTTCGGGGAGTGGAAATCATCTTTTTCTTCCCTCGCGTTAAATATGTGTCACCTAAATTCGCCATGCTCTATTTAAAGCACCCACAATGTCTTCCTCGTAAAGGGACAAACAATTCATCCTGAATGACTAAATCCACTTCAGGAGACCTGCCACTGCGCTCAGAGGAGCGGACTAGAGGTATGTGCGCCCCCAAGTGGCCAGAGCGACCCTCAGCGCGCGTGCGCGCTCCTGGAATGGCCGCGCGTTCCGGAGGAGACCAGCGCATCCCGGGAGGGCACGCCCCTACCCGGTAGCGCGCTCCTGAGAGGCTGGGTGCGCGCCGGGGCTGCGCCTGCGCAGATAGGAAGCCCGGTTTCTCAGCCTCTCAAAGCGCTAGTTTCTGTGACGCGAGGCACGCAGGCCTCATACACTCGCCTCAGGATTTGGGACCTCGGACCATGGGGGACTGCAGATGCCACTTCATCTAGGCCCTCAGCTCAACCCGGTCCTTCGACTCCGGGAGAACAGAGCTCGGGACCCACTCTTCCCCGCTGCGCCTGAGGCACACGCTGCCTCCAGCAGGTGGCGCTCAGTGGCCTAGTGTTGGCCACTGGGAGATGGCCGCAGCCCAGGGACTGTGACCCTGTGCTGGCCCTTTGATGACTGCTAGAGTGAGGTAGCAATTAGGAAAAGACCTGCTACCTCCAGGTACTGATTCCTACGGGCTAAAGGGCAGAAGACTCCCTTTGTTCTGAAAAAGCACCTTCCTCCATATGAGTGGGTGCCTTGGTGGTGACCACACAGGCCATTGATACAAGAATGGTGGGCCCTTCCTAAAAGAGGCTGTTCTCTTACCTCTGGAGAACTTGGAATTCAAAGTAAGCCACCTGCTGTTTATTGCCTCACAGTTCGTCAGTCATGTCACCGTAAAATACCTAGAGCTTGGTCCTGCTGGAAGAGGTCTTCACAGACAGCTGATTGGCAAATGGAGGCCTTGTGGATACTCTCTGTGTGCTTGGAGAGTATGGTATCAATGCTGTAACCCGTGTAGAGAAGAGAATCACGTGAATACCCAGGAACTCCTTAGTGGATTTTTAGGAGTTAATTTTTCAGCGGATAAAGCTCTTAACCTTTTAAATAACTAAAGCTGGATCTTAAAACCTTACAAAGTAATGGAAAGTTTGGTGGACCCATGTTAGCAGTGAGCTTTATAAAAGTTCATATGGGGATTCAAGCATACAGAAAAACAAAACGGTGGAAATAAAGAGCATGGGTGGAGATTATGGCTTCCAGACGTTAATTCATACTATAAAGCCTCTGCTTCAAACAAGGCAGGGCTGGTGCTTTAATATACAAAGGGACCAGTAGACTAGAAAAGAAAGCACATAATAAATTTAAAGTCATCTCAAATCACTCAGACTGAAATGTTTTTTAATAATGTTGAAACAACATGCATAAGGAAAAAATCCAAACCGATTAACGATCTAGTGTAAAAACCTACTCTAAAAATTCCAAAAGAAAATAAGACAATAACCTCAAAGTAGGAAACTGTTTTCTCAAAAACAGAGGCAGAGAAACAAAAGGTCAATAGATTTTCCTAACAAAATATTTTAAACAAAGAACAAAAAGTCATCTAACAAACTATGAAAAAAATATCAGCAGGATACACTGTAAAGACTCATCTCCCAGTCTCCATAACGGAATAATTGTTTATAATAAATTTATAAATGGCAATTTACAATAAAAAAAAAGTATGTTGGCCCATAGGGACTGACAATTAAGAGTTCTTCCTTCACATTTCTGGGTAATCATTTTTATGACAAGACTCTTCAAGACAATTCTTCATATACACATATATGCTATATAGATATAGATGATGATGATGATAGATGATAGACAGACAGATGATAGATGATAGACAGACAGATGATAGATGATAGATGATAGACAGACAGACAGACAGATGAGTGTTTTGTCTGCATTAAGGTGTACCACTGACATGCAGTGCCCACCGAGGCCAGAAGAGGGCATCATAACTTCTGGAATTGGAGTCACAGATGTGTGTGAACTGTCATGTTGGTATTGAAAATTCAACCCCAGTCCTTAGGAAGAACAACCAGTGCTCTTAACCACTGAGCCATTTCTCTAGACCTCAAGATAATTCTGTAAGTAGTTTTTTCAACAAGTGGTGCCAAGACAACTAAGTGTTCACATGCTAAAGAAGAAAGTTGAATATCTTCCTGACACTGTATTGCATTTTAACTCAAAATAAATGACAGGAATAAAGATAAGAAAATAACAAAACATCTAAAAGGAAAAAAGCATAAATTTTTAAAGTTGAATCAGGCAAGACATAAAATACAAGCAACAAAAGAAAATAATGGGTAATGTGAACTTCAAAGTTTAAAGTTTATGTATCAAAGGACAATCAAAAGGACAACTTAAAGAATGGGATGAAATATTTGCAAATAATGTCAGACAGGGAACTTATACCCAGATTATGTAAAGAACTAAAAACTAAGCAACAAATAATCAAGCTTTCCAAATGGGCAAAGGATTTGAATAGACATTTCTACACACACACACACACATACACACACACACACACACACACACACACACACAAGTTGCATAAGTGGCCAAAAGCCACAATAAAAGGATCCTCAGTGACATAAATCATTAGAAAAATGCAAGCCAAAACCACAAAAAGATCCCGCTTTATTCCCAGTAGGATGACTATAGTAACTTTTTCTTATGATAAATCACAAGGATTGGAAAGAATATTAAGAAAACTGAAATACTCATACCCATGGGACTGTAAAATGATACACTTGGAAAAATATTTTGACAGTTCCTGAAAACGTTAAATATGGAGTTACTATGTGACCTAGTAAATTATACACACTATTGGATGTATATCTAAGAGAAATGAATTCATGTTCACAAAAAAAAAAATGCTTGTATGTGAGTGTTGAGGGCAGCAGCATCTACAGTCTAGTGACATATTGAATGTACAACAAAACAATGGTATATCTATACACTGGGATATTATTAAGCCATAAAAAAGGAATGAAGTACTGACATATGCTAAAACATGGATGGACCTTGAAAATAATATACTAAGCCAGGTGTGGTAGCACACACATATACTCCCAGAATTCAGAAGGCTGAAATGAAGGGTCACTAGTTCAAGGCCAGCCTGGCCTATTTAGAAAAACCCTTTCTCTAAAACATGAATGGACTTTGGGAGCCCACTCCATATAGAGGGATACTCTCTCAGCCTAGACACACGGGGTAGGTAGGGCCTAGGCCCTGCTCCAAATGATATGATAGACTATGAAGATACCCCCATGGAAGGCCTCACTCTCCCTGGGGAGCAGAAAGGGAATGGGATAGGAGGTTGGTGGGGACCAGGGGAGGAGGAGGGAGAGAGAACTGGGATTGACATGTAAAACAATCTTGTTTCTAATTTAAATAAAAAAGAGGGGGAAAGGAAAAAGGAAAGACCCTTTCTCAAAAGAAAACTCAGTAAACAAAACCTAAAAATGAATGAATGAGAAGGTATGGAATGGGAGAGAGTAATGGTGGTAAGAAGAGAGTGACATTTCTTTGATGATAACTTGTACACAGTACTAACTCTTAGAACCATTATATAGTTTCCCTTACATACAAGCAGGAACAAACTAGGGGAATTGCATTATGAATTATTAACATGATTAAACAAGCTGAGTGTCAAAGAACATACTCATTTAACCCTGGAAAACAGTATTTTGATTGTATATGGTACAGGCTAAAGGGAAAAGAATCATATGCAGATGTTGTGCTCTGGTTAGTGTATTTGTTTTTCACGGGAGTATAAATTATCAAGTGTGAGGGGATTTTATCTGTATTTTAGGACTGAACAAATAAGTAAATTTATTTAGAATAATGACATGTTTGTTCCATGTTGGAAAAAGAACAACAAAAATAGATACCGAGGTAGAGATAAGCTAACACACACAAACTGGGTTTCATTGTAAGAGGACTTAGAGCAATGACAACAACCCAGTCAGTGCAATGGAGTCTAACATCTAGATCTTAGTTTCTAAATGTTATTCTACACTGAAAACACAACAACAAAAAACAACCAAAAATCAGAACTTCTTGAAGAAAGTGTTCATTCAGAATTTGGGGCTGGGAAAATAAAAAGAAAATAACTTGAATAATCTGTAAAGGCACAAAGAATACAAAAGAGGGGAAAAGGAAAGGAAAGGAGCAGAGAGAGGGAGCTACAAGCCAACTTAGAGTCCCAGAAGCCCATCCTGGGAAATTTTGAGTAAGAGAATAATTATAATCTCACTTTATATCCCAATCAAGTGGATAGTCATTAATCAGTATTGATTATGAGTAAGCAGATGAGATATATAAGATAGGTGCTGTTTAGTTTCTATCAGCTTGATACAAACCTAGACACACCTGGAAAGAGAGGATCTCAACTGAAGAATTTTGCCTCTATCAGATTAGCCTGTGGGCATGACTATGGAGAGTTTTCCTGATTGCTAATTGATGTAGGCAGGTGTGCC